ACGCCTGAGCTGCGCCCCCATCCCCAGACTGCTTACCCCTCAGGCTGGCTGCTCTACCGCGGCAAGTGCCTCTTCATCTTGTTGGAGATGTGGGATGACAGCAGAGCGGAGTGTGAGAAATACTTTCAGATCCTGGTTACCAAATCCTGGAGTCGCTGGACCATGCGGTACAGAGTGGTAGCCGAGGGCTCCATTTGGAGGGGCCAGACCTGCTGAAGCATTGGATGGTGCAAGGGTCATCCCCGGAGCATGGCGTGGTGGCACAGGATGCTGGCACCCCTAGGTTGGAATGGGGCATCAGAGCTACTCAGCTTTGGTGGGGAGATGAAGATACAACAGCCTCTAAATGCCATGGAAAAGCTGCAAAAAGACCCTTTTGCTCCTTCCCCAGAGCTTCCTGAACAATGTGGACACTGTGTACTGGATCGGGCTGCAGAAGAGCAGCCTGGTACGGCTGTCTGGAGGAAGGGGAGTTAGGCAGCAATGGGATCACAAATGCCTCTGGTTCTGGGTGGATGGCTCACTTTACGAACAGTACCCATGGCATGTCCAGGCTAACACCTCCTGCCCAAATCCCTTTTCCTCCAGCAAGGCCTTAAGAAACATTTTAAATAGCACCAGTACCCAGTGCCTGGTGTGAGCACTGGGCAGTGGTGTGCTGAGATGCTCAGAGGCCATGCAGAAGGAAAGCCGAGCTTCAGAGGGCTCATGCAAGCAGGAGGCAGCAAGAGAGAACAAAGGAAACTACAGGTTTTATTTGGGATCTAGACAAAGTGTTTGAGCACCACCCCTATCTCCCACACACCTCCCTGGTCCTCCTGGAGGGGGGAAATCAGAGCTTCCCACCTGTGGGGGTATGGGGCTCGTCCCCGCCACGTGCATCACCTCCCTGGCACGCCACTGCTTCCTCTTGAGGTGTCTGAAATTGATGGGGAGGAACGGCTCTGTCTGGCCGGGTGCCCAGCCCCTGCTTGCTGCATCCCTGCCACCCCAAAATGTTGCTGGCTCCAGCTGTCGGCAGCTTCAGCAGAGACTGGATGGGGCAGTGACAGCCCCGACGTGGTGTTTTTCCATACAGGCCATGGCACTAGAAGCTGAACAGGTCCTGTGCCATAATAAGCTGTGGGAACATCAAACCAGCGCCACATGAAGGTCTGGATGACCTGCACCTCCAGATCTGTGAGAAGGCGGCAGGGCTGAGCTCCCTTTTCAAGTGACAGTGGCCACTGGCCCTGACAGCACTGCACTGAGCTCAGCCTGAGTCTGCCCAGCTCTGGAGTGTGTAAGGAGGGGCAGCAAAGGTGGAAAAAATGTGGGAAACCCCATCCCTGGGAGCTGGCCTGGCCCCACTGAGCACGTATCCCTCTGCTTTCCCTCACAGAACCCGCAACCCCCTCTGCTTCAGCCCTGCTGTGCCCCACACTGGAGCCTGCCCCATGCACATCAGCCCCCTCCTGTGCTGCAGAGCCCTGCCACAACCCCAGCTGAAGTGTTCCAGCAGAGCAGCATGGCCTCACAGCTCAGCCCCATGCCCCCATGAGCAAGCCGCAACAGCCAATGCTGCCACCCTGCAGCAGCCCCAGCCTGGAGGCAGAAGCAGGGGATGGCATGACTCTAGCCTGCCTCCGCCAAGGTGCTCACTACACCAACGTTTAGGCTGGAGCCATCCTGGCAGCAGCTCAGTGCCAGGTTTCAGGCAGTCCAGGCAAAGCATTAGTTCCCAACCCTATTCGCATGTGTACTGGAGTCCTTGGGTGGTCATCCAGTGTACTCTGGTGGTCTTTTGATGAAGGCGTAAGTCTTCCTCGCTGCTAACTTTTTGGCCCTTCCTGTCTTTGACAGACTTCAGCAGTCAAGCCAGTTCTTGCTGGTTCCCTTATCTATGCATACAGTCTCCCTTATCTTTGGGGTCATTAACATACAATTGTGCTAGCTAAGACCTAGGAATCAACATCCTTTTTCTTGTTCCCTGTCTCAAGTCCCCCCTTTTCTTTATCCTAAGGCAAATTCTTTTGCTTATAGCACTCCTTCTTGATTCAAAGTTTTCATAAAATTCTTACCGGTTTCTACTTGGTGCTTGATTCGGTTACACTTCCAGGTTTCATAATCATCTAGTCCTTTTATACAGCACCAAAATGCACACTGTACTAATACACAGGGTAAGAATACTAGTATAAGCAAGATCAATATTCCTATAAACAATTGCTTAAGCCAAGAAAATTTGGGTAACCAAGAGGTCAGTTCGTTCCATAATTCTCAAAAACCTCACAAGGTGTCATCTTGAACTACCTTATGTAAGATCTTGGTCTTTTCCAAATATTTTTTGAGATCAGTCTCAATTCGTCCTGCCTCATTTACATACATACAGCTACAAATATTTATTAAAGTGCATACTCCCCCTTGGGAGGCTAATAAAAGGTCTAGTGCCTAAAATGTTCTTACTGATTTGTTCTAGTTGCTTGCCCAAAACTATAATATGTTGTCATAAATATTGGTTTCCTACTTGCGTTAGATCTTCTCCTTTGTATGGCATTTGGTAAGGCCTGCCATACAATATCCCAAAGGGGCTTAGTTTTTCCTTGCTCCTAGGCCTAGTTCTAATTCTAAGTGCCATGGGTAGCGCCTGATACCAATACATATTGGTTTCTTGACAGATTTTAGCAATCTGTTGTTTTATCAAATGATTAATTTTTTCCACTTGGCCACTCGCCCCTGGTCTATACAGAGTGTGTAGTTGCCAGTCAATCCCTAGCACTTTGCTGACTTGTTGGGTCAGTTCTGCAGTGAACTGTGGTCCCCTGTCAGATGACATCACTGAGGGTACACCAAATCTCACTATAATTTCATTCTCTGGCTTTGTTAGTTCTACATGGGAATGCTCCCGGCCATCTGGAAAAGGTGTCTGTTAGTACCAATAAGCATCTAAACCCCTCTTTTCCTAGGAGTTTGAAAAAGATCAATTTGCCACTGTTTCCCAGGAACATTTCCCTTCCCTATTGTTCCCATTTGGGGTTTGATTCCTGTCTGTGGGTTATTTTTAAGATATATGACTGGCACTGTTTTGATACCTGTCTGACAATAGTATACAAATTAGGCCCTATCCATTTTCTACTTAAAAACTCTTATACTACTTCAGCTCCCCAGCATGCTTTATTATGTTCTTCAATTACCATCCAATATAATATGGTATCACGATTTTCCCACCATTTATTTGTGCTAAACCTGTAGGTAACATTTTCCATTTACATCTTCAATTAATTGCTAATTCTAATCGATCTTAGAATATTCTACTTAATTTTCTAAGGCTTTTGTTAATGCCTGGTTTTCTCTTCCTAGTAGTAGTGCCAAAATTTGACTCTCAGATGCCTGTTCTGCCACCCCTTTGGCATTTGCGTCAGCCAATCGATTTCCTCTTCCAATATCAGTATCCTGTTTGATGTCCTTTACAGTGCATAATGGCAACTTTAATAGGCAGGTATACCGCTTGGAGTAACTTCAGTATCTCTTCTGCATGTTTAATCGAGGATGATAAGAGTCCTCTCCCCTTCCAAACTGCCCCGTGTGCATGCACCACACCAAAGGCATATTTCGAATCTGTCCAAATGTTAATTCTTTTCCCTTTTGCCAGCTCAAGAGCTCTTATAAAGGCTATTATTTCTGCCTTAAGTGAACTCCCTGGCAGATGAAGCTGCTGCCATATATATACCAATCCTCCTCATCTTCTAGGGGTATATCCTTTAAGTCTGGATGGCTGGAGACCGTTTCCATGGTCTTGATGCAATCACAAATGGGTGATCTGGAAACTGTTACTTAAGGAAAGAGGCTGGGTTCACAGTATTAGTGCCAAAAAAATTTAGTAAACTAATAGTCCATTATACACGTTCCTTTTCTTCTTCAGTAGCTATCAACAGGTGATCTACGTATTGCAGCAGTGTCCCTTTTTCCTGAAGGGGTTTTCCAAGCTTCAAGATTATAGGCTAGTTGGTTCCCGAATATGGTGGGGCTATTCTTGAACCCCTGTGGTAACACTGTCCAAGTAAGCTGAGTTTTTCATCCTCTATTAGGATTTTCCCATTCAAAGGCAAAGAGTTTCTGGCTTTCAGTCACCATGGGCAGGCAGAAAAAGGCATCCTTTCAATCTAGTACCGTGAACCAAACTTGACTGTTTTCTAATTTTGTCAAAAGGTTATAGGGGTTGGCTACTACAGGGTATAAATCTTTTGTGATCCTATTGATGGCTCTTAAGTCCTGGACTATACGATGGGTTCCATCTACCTTTCTAACTGGGCCTATATGGAGTACTATATTCTGACTCACATTCTACTAATAGCCCATATTTAAGAAAGTTATTAATTATTCCTTCCATTCCCCTTCTGTGTTCTACCTTTAGTGAATATTCCTTTTGTCATACCTTGAGAGCATTTTCCTTTAAACCAATTTTTTTTTCAGGTACTCTCCCAGGTACTCCTGTAGCCCAAACTCCCATATACACTTGGTTCAGTTCTTGCTGGTTCCATTATCTATGCATAGTCTTTTACTCCCTTATCTTTGGGGTCGTTAACATACAATTGTGCTAGCTAAGACCTACAGGAATCAACGTCCTTTATCTTGTTCTCTGTCTCAATACTGATTAATTAGTATGTAAACCACTTTGCTTGAATAGCACAGGGCTGTTAAAGGCAGGTGTTTTGGAGGTCCACCACTCCTCTGTCTTGTCCACTGGCTGAACCTACTTTGTAGCAAATAGAGACAGCTTGTCTGCTGTTTGCTTCTGCCTTTACCACCCCGACACAGACTTCAGGACACAAAGCCAACGATCCCAAACCAGAAACTGGAATTTCACTAAAGCTGCCTCAATTGAGGTTGCCACTTCAGAGGCACTGAGCCAGAGCTGACTCACGGTCCCCAGGGGACACAGCCAGACCAAGTCCATGTCACCCTTGGGGTCTGGACTCCCCACCCTTCTCAGTACATTCAAGAGACACATGTGGCAGCCTGGCTTGCTGGGACATTACTTTTTTATTGAACGCTTTAAATAAGCTGGGTATATATTACTAGCAATTATTATTAACATTAATAAAAAATGCAAGAGTTTTACATTCACCAGTGCATTGTGCAGGAGGGAAGAAAGCTGGCTCCCATCCTTGCTAGGCATATCTCCCCTTGTCCCCCTGGCTACCCAGGAGGCACTGGGGGGGGGGGGGCACAGGGTACTCACTGCTGGTGGGGGGCAACGCAGATGTGTCCCCGCAACCCTGGTGTGGTGTTGGGGCAGGAGGGTGTCCCGCATGCCAGAGGGCTCAACACCCAGGGAAACCCAAGCAGTGGCACCCTCCTGCTGTGCTGCACCCCCCTAACATCACCACTCTGCATGCCCCTGTGGGGGACTAGGAATGTTCCCCACACTTGTGGGGAGGCAGTGGGACATCCCCCCCCATCCCAGGGGGCTGCAAGAGCCCACTGAGGGGTGAGCTCTTGGGGATAGAGGATGGGCCCTGCCGCCTGGGGCAGCAGTGTTATTGCACTACAGCCCAGCCCCACTGGGACCTCTGCAAAAAGCCAGCCTGCTTGGGTGCTGCCTGCAGCCCCCCCCAAGGCCAATCCCATTGGAACAGGCACCTCAGCATTGCCATCATGGCCACCAGGTGAGCAAGGACAGACTCATTGGAGGGGGGAACAGGACACAAAACCCCAGGCTTACAAAGCCACCCCACACACAAGGGGAGCTCCCAGGAGCACCTGGCTGCAGCTGTGGTCTCTAGCACTAGAACTGCACTCCTGGCAGCTTCAGGCTGGGCTCCGCCAGCATCAGCCCCTGGGCTTTCTGGAGGCGGCTGTGGTCGCAGCAGAGGAGGCTCTTGGCTTAGCAGTTGAGGTTCTGGTAGTGGGGAGGGCTGGGCGCAGGCTGGTGGAAAACGGAGGTGAAAGTGAAAGGCCCCAAGCAGCAGCCAGGGCAGTACAGCACCTCATCCAGCTCCAACAGTGCCAGTGCTATGCCCAGGCAGCAAGGCCACGTGTTCCATCTGCTCCAGCGCTGCTGCCGCACAGGGGATGCTGAGCTGGGAGAAGCCACTTTCCAACCTGCTGCCCCCAGCCAGTGGCTTGCTGACCACCACATGGTTGTTGTTGATGAGCAGCCCATTGGGTGCCCATGGCTCCATTTATCAGGGCTGGGCACCTGAGGCTGTCACATGGATGAATTTGCTGGCAGCATGTGCCAGATCACAGACCTACAGCAGCTTGGGGCTGTGGGGGCTGCAGTCCATCTGTTCCCCTGCTGTGGGACCAGGGGGGGAGGCGTGAATCCCACTTCCCAGCTCCCCAGCATCCTCCCGGCTCCACTTCGAGCTGGGGGGCTGGGCAGGCGACTCCACACCCAGTGCCAGGCCCCCATGGCAGGGCAGCTCAGGGGAGGTGGGCAGTGAGTGGCACTTGTGGGGGGCTGCAGCAGGCACCAAGAAGTCACACTGCACTTCTATGGCTGGCTCAGGCGTCATGGGGGAGCAGAGCTGCAGCGAGGCCGGAGGGGGCAGGTCAAAAGTGAACGAGATGACAGACTTGCTGGGCATATCAAAAAGCTTGATCTTCCCCCCCTTCAGGTCCTCACGCTGGGAGAAGGGGTTGATGCGCAGTAGTGTCTCCTTTGTTCTGGCCCTGCCACAGGGCTCAGGCAGCTGTAGCAAGGTGGGCAATTTGGAGGGGAATATGTCGGACTGGCTGCAGGACAGGTGCTGGTCCAGTTGCAGGTGCTGTTTCCCCAACTCATGCAGGAGCAACTGCTTGGCATGGCTGGCTGGCCTCCTGGCTACTCCTGAGCAAGGGCACAGGAGTGTGTGTGTGTGTGTGTGTGTCTGTCTGTCTGTCTGTCTGTCTGTCTCACTGGCGCCCTGGGTGTGCCCAGGCACCATGGGGCAAAACAGGAAGCAGCCCAGGCAGTGAGAAGTGGGGCTGCTTCCTACAAACCTACCCCAGCCTGCTCCCCAATAGCTGGTGGGGTGGTAAAGGGGCATCCCCCCGCCCCCAGGACACCCACATACCGTTGAGCATGGGTGCTGTGCTGGGCACAGGCAGGCTGTCCCTGGTGCTGAAGAGGGGGGCCCCCAAACCCTCGGTGCCTAGCTGGTGCTGCAGGATGCCCTCCAGGCACTGTGTGATTTCCAGGAACGAGGGGCGGGAGGTCGGCTCCATCTGCAGGCAGGATGGGTCCCCATTGAGGGCTGCAGTACACCCCCCAGCCCTTGGGGTGCACCACCTGGAAGCAGCTCCAGTAGGCAGGGAAAGGCAACCCCCGATGGGACACCAGGATTTGGACATCCCCGCGGCAGGGGCTCACACTGCAGCAGTGGAAAGCCATCTGGAGGAAGGCCGCTGGGCAGTCAAGTCCCACCATGGTGTGGAAAGCAGTGACATTCAGGCCAAAATCCTGTGCCAGGGAGATGGGGAAGAGTGAGGCCAGGTGCCACAAGGTGACACGCCATGGTTGCATAAAGGAAGGAGGGACCCTGTGGTAACCCAAGCAGGGGGAAGGTTGCAGGGTGCTGGGACACAGATCCCTCCTGCTCCCTGCCTGAAGGCACCCACCCTCCTCTCTGGGCTGATTCTGGGCTCCAAAGACAGGTTATGGGCAGAGAGCATCCCTCTTGCTGCCAGGAGACATTGGGGATGTGGTATCCCCACCCCAAGATGTGGGGCAGCTCCCCATAGCCTCTGCCACAGGCAGGGAGCTCTGCTCACGTTGGTCCCCCTTGTTTGGTGACATGTCCCCAGGTCCCACCGCGTGTCATCCTTGCTCCCTCTGTCCCAGTGAGTCACCTCGGTGCGGGGCAGGTAGTCAGGGTCCGCGGGGACACGAGCAATGGTCTCACACAGGATGATGCCATATGCAAACACATCAGCCTGCAGAGAGAGGGGAGTCATGGGGGGTCCTGCAGCCCAAGGCGACATGCCTCTGCTTCTGTGAGCTCTCCCTGCAGAGCGGCACTGGGTCCCCACCTCCTCAGCACCCTGGGGATGCCTGTTCCCATCCCTCCATGCCCCTCTGTGTGCCCAGCTGACCCCAGGGCTGCAAACCCTGCAGATGGCCCCATGCAGCATCACCTTCTCATTGTAGATCTCCCCTCGCAGCAACTCGGGCGCCATCCAGTACGGGGAGCCCACCACAGCCAGCGGCTCCTTCTCACTGCCCTCGCTGGGGGACACAGCAGGATGTCAGAGGCCCCCATCCCCCCCCAAACCTCCCTCTCCCTTCCTGCGCCAGCAGTCCTCCATGCACCCCATGACTCATCTCTCCCTGCCACCAGGCAACCCACACCATGCCCTTTCCCCATCCCCAGACGTATTCATCTGTCCCATGGGTCCCCAGCACATGGGAATCACCCCACTGCCCCCATCCCTGCCCTTCTAGCTGGACCCCAAAAGTCCATCCCTCCCCAGCTCCTGCTCCCATCAAGCTGGAACACCTTGCTCCAAAGATGGGGACGGACAGGCAGATGCCACCCATGCACCTGTAGGTGGGGATCTTCTCCGCCAAGCCGAAGTCACCCACCACAGCTGTGTAGCCGTTGGCCTCGCAGCGCACCAGGCAGTTCTGGGGGGACAGGGGGACCCTGTCACACCGCCAGCCCCCACCTCACCAGCCGCCACTCCTGGGATGCCCTGGGCACCGTGCAGCTCCTCAATGTGTATGGGGAAGCTAGGGCAGCAGGATGGACCATACCTTGGAGGTGAGGTCACGGTGGAAGATGCCCTTGGAGTGCAGGTAGTGCAGCCCACGGGCAATGTCGAGGGCCAGCTGGATGCGTGTGGACCAGGAAAGGGGCACAGGGCTGTCCAGCAGCTGCTCCAGGTTGCCGCCGTTGATGTACTGGTGGAACAGCCATTGCCTCACTGCACCCCCCTCTCCATCCCTTAAAGCTGGGTCCCCACCTCTCTTCCCACCCCATGGCACAGCCACCCTGTCCCCATGGAAACCTCCAGACTCACGGCTGCCATCCCGCTCTCACCTCTGTCAGTGCGTGTAGCTGCCCCTGGTGCACGCACACCCCCATGAACCTGCAAGACAGAGAAGGGCTGAACGTGGCCCAGGGGGCGGTGGATAGACGGGACACAAGCCCCAGGAGCTCGTCCAGCCCCCCAGGCTCCGGGGAGTGGGACCTACCTGAGTATGTTGGGGTGTGAGAGGCGGTTCATCAGCTGCACCTCCCGCAGCATGTTGCCCCGGTTGCTTGTCAGCTTGTTCATCTTCAGCACCATGATCTGCCCCGACTGGCGGTGCCGCACCTGCAGGGGGGTACAAGGGAGGGCTCAGTACCCCACACGTGGAGCACCCCAGGGACTGACAGAGTTTGGGGGGGAGGCTCTCCCAGCCCAACAGCACCCCAAAGCCAACCCCACCCTCCCTGAGGCACTCTACTTTTTGTGCTCCCCCCAACATGTGGGTGCGGGACCCGCTGAGTTCGGCACGGGGAAGCAAGTGATCAACTCAATATGAGTGGTAATACAAGCTTCAACTTTATTGCACAGATATCCGTATATTTATACACACAGCGATAATTATGCCTACTGGTCACTATCCTATTGGCTAAGCCTAGAAGTGTTCCTCCTACTTGCGGTTACAGCGTATAAGCTACTTCCTTGTCTTCCCGGGCCTCAGATCCACCCGTTTATCTCTCTCTCAAGGACAGAGTGCTCCTTGCATATTTCACAAGAGTGCTTCTCATCTGGCCTACTCCATAGCTATAAACTCTGTATTTTCTTTGCCTTGCTTGTACAATTCCTCTAGGGACCCGTGCCCTTGCTCTTTGAGCCATTCTTCAACACCAACACATGCCCAGACCCCCAGAGACATGCTGGCAGTTACTGCAAGCCAAAATCTCAGCCCCAGAGGTACAGGACTGGGGCACAGTCAGGTGTGCAGCACAGGCTGGCTTTTTTGGCTCAGCATCACAAGCCCAGCCAGACCCCAAACAGCTGGTGGGGGGTGAGGGCAGAGGGGATGCATCCTGCCCAAATCAGCCCTGCAGGGCACAGCGCTTGGCTGAAGCCATATATTTAGCTGGCTCCAGCCCAATGCTGTTGCATGAACCAGGAGTTGGCCCCCTGCCAGGAACAGCAGCTGGGAAGGCAGTCAAGCCTGGACACCCCTGCCCCCCCCCACCCTGCATGGGGGCAAGGGACAGGCACAGGGGCCCCAGCTCTGGATAGGGGACAATACCGGGGATCCCCTCCTGAGCAAGTGCAGGGGGTGGGATGGGACCCTAGTAGCAGCTGCCCCCCTGGCACACAGGGAGCTGCACACAGAGGCACAGGCATTCCTCAGCACTGCTGTCAGCTCAACACTCTTCTCCTTTTTAGTCAATGCTGGTTGAAGCTGCTGTGCCTGTGCCAGCCCCTGGCCTTCCCCATGCTCCGCCCTGCCCCCCTCCCCCTGGCAAAACACAAAGGGCATCTGCAAAACAACAGGATCCCCAAGCACATGCTGCAGAGATAGGGACAAGAGGGACACGTGCCAGGGATGAGATGTGTTTCACTGACACCCCCAGCCCCACGAGCTCCCGGTGGTGGGCACCAGCATCTGGCACATCCCAGCATGCAGAGCCAGCTCATCCAGCAGGCAGTGCTGCCCTCCCATGTGGCATGGGGCTGGCGGGACCAGCTGGGTCACTCCAGCTTGGCACTAGCAGCTGCCGGGTGCCGACACCTGGCTCAGTCCCATGATGCTGCCTCACACAGGGTTGCCACTCAGCTGCAATTGGAACATCCAGTGGCATGCACTGTGGCACTCCCCAGTTGCCATCCACTGTGGGAAGGGCCGGATCCAGGCCAGCAGCAGTGGGGAGCATCCCCTGGTGGGTGGTGGCTCACTCCAAGTGGCTGAGTTGCACCCACAGCCCAATTCCTCACTAACAAACCTCCTCCCATTGCAATAGCCAAGGTCAGGCCTGAGCACACCATGTGGCGTCTAATGTAATCCTGGAGGATCCTGTAGGAGGGAAGCTCTGGGACCCCTCCGCCCCCGCCACCATGGGATCTCTCCCAGGGATCCCAGTGAGTCCCCCGGCAGTGCAGCCTGGCCTTGGTGCTCAGAGGGTCCCAGCACAGCCCCACCCACAAGCCCACAGGGTCATCTAGCACCCTGAGCTTGCTCATAAGCTGTCCTGCCATCTGTCCTGCCTGCTCCACGGCTGGAGGACACCCCTGGTCATGCAGGAGAAGGGGTGAGGGTCCTCCAGCCTGGCAGGTGGCTTTCCACATGCACTGTCCCCTTCACCCAGCATTGTCAGGGGCTGGCACAATCCCAGCACCTTGAATGCCTTCCAGAAGCAGTGACAGCCCCTAGACGTAGCAAGCCATGGCCTCAGGTGACGCAGGCCCACACTGATGGGGTTTCCATCCCCTTCCTGTCGTGTCTGCCCCCCCCCCCCCCCAATGCCAGCATCGAAGGGAGTGGACAGCAGAGCCTCCCCAGGTAGCATGAGTTCCCCCCTCACCTCTCCACACTCTGGCCTTGTACACAGGAATTCCAGCACATTCCCCGGAGCTGAGCTCAGCCTGGCACTGGGGGAGGCAGCAGCCTACCGATCCCTACCTGGGAGCCAACCCTCACCCTCCGCTGATGCCTCCCAGCACCCTGTGTAGCCCCTGCATCATGCGCCTAGCAGGAGACACCTCACCTGACCTGCAGGTCCCTGCTCCCCATCCCATCTGCTGCCAGTGCCGCCCACATGGGCTGGGGGAAGGGATGGGGCTGGTAGCAGCCCCAGCCTGGGCACAAGGGATATGGGCCCTTTTAACAGCAAAAAACAGAGTTTTGTTTAAAGAGCATGCTAATCAGAGTGAGCAGAAGGCCTGGGTCCTCCCCACAGCTGGCACTCCCATTTAAACGCAGTGCAAAGCTGTATTGGGTCTGGCTGGAATGTTAACTTTCCCAGCAGCAGCCCATACAGTGCCGTACTCTGCAGTTGTAGCTGGAACAGCGGTGTTATCACACCAGTGTTGTGTCTGCTGCTGAGCAGCAGTGGCACAGTATTAGGCCTTTCTCTAACCCTCTTAGGGGGTGGGCAAAAGGTGAGGAGAGAAACATCACTAGGGCAGCTGGCCTAAACCAATCAAAGGGATATTCCATACCATGTGATGTCACACTCAGCAATAAAAGGTGGAAACAGGAAGAAGAGGGGAGGGGTGGGCTCTCGTTTGGAAAGACGTCGGTCCTCCTCTCGAACACCGGCTGCGTGCGTTGAGGCCTTGCTTCAAGGACGTGGTCAATCATCGCTCATTTGTGGGAAGTAGAGAGTAATTTCTTTCCTCTGCACTTCCATATAGCCTTCATTTATTTTGTTTGTTTGTTTTCCTCCCTTCTTTTTATTTTCCTTTTTTCCCCTCCCTTTCCCCTTTCCCTTTTTATTTTCCCCTTAGTTAAATTGTTAGTTCATGGTAGTCTTTATTTAATTATTATAATTATTTCCCTTTAATTAAACTATCCTTATCTCAACCCGTGAGTTGTTCTTTGCTTTACTTCTCCCCCTCCTCATCTAAAGGAGGGGGAGTGAGAGAGCGGTTGTGGGGTTTAGCTGCCCAGTACGGTAAAACCACCACAGTCCTTTTTGGCGCCCAACGTGGGGCTCGAAGGGTTGAGATAACAATAGAATTGATTAAACGCATATAACTAACACGCTTGCTTGCTAGTAACCATGTACATTGCCCTGTTAATAATAATAGCTTTGTTCCTATGTCATGCAATCCGTGTCATATTCTCCTTTCTCCTATATATCCGATCCGACAAAGTGCTACAATCTGTGTTCACTTTTTTTAATTCGCTGTGCTGCCAAGCACTGACCTTGGTTTTAATCTGGAATTCAGGCTCTGCACTGTTATCATTTGGGTCCCATGGAAACTATCTTTCAGAGAATATTCAGAACTACACTGCCTTCCTTTTCTCATCTGGACACCAGTTTATTAATAATATTAAGAATGGTACCTTTCCCTCCTTTCATAGTGGGCTAATTACAACCGTTTGGGAGTATTTTGAAGATCCATCTGTAACCCATGTATTGCTATTTCTAATTCTGAACAACCAGTTTCATTTTCTCTCTAAGATTAGTCGATTGTTTAGAAAACTTACTTGGGAATCTGTCCCGAAACAGTCTTGTGGTGAGTGGCTAGGTGTGTGGGATGATGTTAGCAGATACCTGTCACGAGTGTCTCCTCCAATAGTTTTGAACTTCACCCCTGAGCAAGTGCTAAATCCTAAAAAATTAGTAGAATGTTTGAGAGTTGTATGTCCTGACCCTGATAATGCCGGAGAACGACAGCTTGCAGCATTGTGCTGGGTCCTGGCTTATTCCTATCAAACACTGTTTAACATCATCCAGCAACTTGAAGAGAGGGAGGAAGTCTCTGAATATGATGACCAAGTAACACACGATGTGGCTGACCCAAAAGACCAACCAACTATGGTATCAGTCGCCCCCATAGTCAAGTCAAAAAAATGGAAACGGAGGTCAGCTCGTTTAGTAAGGGAAGAAGGCTCTCCTAAGGAGGAGGAAGAAGGGGAAATGGCAGGCACTTCTAAAGCAGGGCCATCACAAAAACAGCAGGAAGACGAGACAGAAATCATAAAGGAATCAGAAATCACTCGATCCTTATCCCTGAGTGAGATGCGAGAAATACGAAAGGATTATGGTCGACGCCCAGGTGAACACATCCTCACTTGGCTGCTTCGATGCTGGGATGCTGGGGCCAATAGCCTACAATTAGAAGGCAATGAAGCCAAGCAGCTGGGATCCCTCTCTAGAGAAAGGGTAATCGACAAAGTAATCGGGAGAGGAGCACAGGCCCTCAGCCTCTGGAGACGACTCCTGGTGGCTGTGAGAGAAAGATATCCCCATAAGGAAGATATTGTATATCAAATAGGCAAGTGGACCACTATAGATAAAGGTCTCCAGCATCTGCGGGAATTAGCTGTGCGGGAGATGATTTATAGTGATTTGGACAATGCCCAGACACCTCAAGACCCCGATGAAGTCCAGTGCACAACATCCATGTGGCGTAGATTTGTGCGGAGTGCACCACCAGCACATGCCAGTACCCTGGCATCAATTAACTGGGATGAGGGGAGGGGACCAACATTGTATGATATGTCCTGCCAGCTTCAAAAATATGAAGACAATCTCTCTGCTCCGCTACAGTCCAGTGTCTCAGCTGTGGAGAAACTGTCTAAAGGACTTGACAAGCTCGTGGAACGAGTGGAACGAGTATATTCCCCCTCATTTAGACAGAGT